GTAATGAAAAAAATCAGAGTTTCACTCAATGCGCATGTAAAATTTCACTGAATGAGAGCGATAAATGGCTGTCCGACGTTTCGTGTTTCGTGTTTCGTGTTTCGTGTACCATCATTGACCTTTCCTTTAACATGGCAGACGAAATTGTCGGCAAAATTTAGAAAGAAGCACACGCAAGAAAATGAGAGAGTTTACAGAGACATCGCACGCACGAAAATAACGCGAACGAAAACAATCCTAACCGAATTCATCTCCGTTACTTTTTCAGGTTCCGCGAAACGTCTAAATAAATAAAAAAAAAAAAAAAAAAAAAAAAAAAGAGGGAATAAGATCGATCAATTCGCGAGCGACCTTGGTCTTTAACATGTTGTAGACACCATTCGACGATAAATGTTATCCAATTTACAGGATTTAAACAGCAACGAACTAGTGGATAGATAAAGCGAATATCTTGAATGAAAAAATTGAATTTTTAACACTTTATTGGACTTGATGAAAAAATTAAATATTAAATATTGGGAAATAGACACTGATCGAACAATTTACACAGTAGTTTCAATTACACAATTTTAATCTATAGATTAATAATAAACAGCAATAGATTTTTGCGTCAGATTAAAATTAAACACACGAAATATTATTTTAATGATAGATATTTAAAAAACTTAAATCTAATTGAAATTGTTTACCTTACTCAATAATACCAGTTGAATGTTAAAAATTAAATATTGAATGTTAAATATTGAATATTAATTGAGTAAACGTTTGTTGAAGGAAGTCTGAAGTGAATAGCAATCAAGTGACCTACGTTCACGTTGTACAGAACGTTGAATGAAACGCAGATTTGTATCGCTTTCGAAATGTACTCTATTGTGTCTTAAATACTGTACAAGGACTTCTTGTGAATTTCTACGTTGAATCGAGCTGCGTAAACATTGACTGAGCCAATTTTGTATTACTATTCACACGCTGTGTTGAGAAACAGCGTGGAGGGAAATTCGTAACGAAATAAGAAAATTTTAAAACACTGCCTGATACAAAAATAGTTAAGCAGCAAATCATGAAACGTGAATTTTTATCTACTCGCCGAAAAATTTAACCTTTTCATAGAAAAAATTCCTTGAAAAATTTTTTTAATTTCGAAAATAGAATGAAATTTGCGATTCTCTTCGTCACAGAAACACGACTTTTTTTCTACAAAAATAACTTAAAATCAACATACTTGTCCATTCCTTAATTTGCTAAAATAACCGTGATGTTTTAACATCTTCGAAAAAAATTCTGAAATCATTATCATTATCAATTGCATAAATATCAAGTAATAAATTGTAATACGTTTAATAGAAATCAATTGTAATTACAATTAAAATATTGTAATTATTACGCACAATCTATATCGAGAAAAAAATGGCGTCCTTATGGAAATTCAAATATTGACGCTCTCAAATTTACGCGCCAAAAGTTGTACCGTCGTTCTGATTGTCAATATCAATGAAACGGAGGACATTTATGATCTGAGCCTAATATATCGTGTACTAAAAAACAGAGAAAAATATAAATATTACATAAGGTCGTGTCACGATAACGAAACTGCGAATCTAACCTTCTTTCTCGCGCGGATATTTCAACAATCATTCTTGAAAATCGTTGACACGATTGCATACTTAATTCGCGTCGTTCGAGTCGCTCGAAGTATAAAACAATCCTTCACTTACTTTCTACCAGTACGGCGAATACATTGTCACATCGTATAGAACGTTTTTACTTCTCAATCTTCGTTTATCGAAGTTAACATTTTCCATCCATTTCTTCGAACCTCGATACCGCGAATATTTAAATATTTCCATCACTCGAATCTCGCCCATTACCGATGATATTACTCTGAACGAACAAATTTCAACGCGACACGTTAGATTTTCTAGCGACAGACATGGCCGCTAGATCGCGAGTGTCAATTTTGTAAGAATATTTCGATAATCGAATGGTCAAAGTTGATCGATTATAATATCGCGATTGTCACGCTACCGCCGACCAATTGGAGCATCTCCCTTCAAAATTCGCGGGACGAGCTTTGTCGTCAAGATGAGTTTTCATATTCTTCGATCTTTTTGAAAGAAAAATCAACTTTTTAACCAGTAAGTGAACAATTTGAGTAATTTCCTATTATCATAAATATAACTGAAGAGAAATAAATCTTTTCTTCGTTAATAAATGATTACGACTATTGTAAATAACAATATTGTAGATAGATATTATAGGTTATATTGTAATAATATTGTAGATAGATATTATAGGTTATTGTAGATATTTCCCACATATTTATCTTTAAATTTAAATTTATTTACCTACGTAGATACCTACACAGGTATATAAAGAGCTACATAAATATTCATACTTTGCGATTAATTAATCTATCGCATCAATCTATCAATGAGAGAATCTGTACAATGTATATACACGATGTATTACAGAAAGGACTGATGTTATCGAATAATCGGCTGGTCCATGTGTTTCTCGACTAGCGTGACACCTGCTATGGAATATTTCGATAATCGAATGGTCAAAGTTGATCGATTGTAATATCGCGATTGTCACGCTACCGCCGACCAATTGGAGCATCTCTCTTCAAAATTCGCGGGACGAGCTCTGTCGTCAAGATGAGTTTTCATATTCTTCGAGTTTTTTGAAAGAAAAATCATCGGAACTTTTTAACCAGTAAGTGAACAATTTGAGTAATTTCCTATTATCACAAATATAACGGAAGAAAAATAAATCTTTTCTTCGTTAATAAATGATTACGACTACTATAAATATTGTAATAATATTGTAGATAGATATTATAGGTTATTGTAGATATTTAAATTTATTTATCTACGTAGGTACCTACACAGGTATATAAATAGCTACATAAATATTCATACTTTGTGATTAATTAATCTATCAATGCATCAATCTATCAATGAGAGAATCTGTACAATGTATATACACGATGTATTACAGAAAGGACCGATGTTATCGAATAATCGGCTGGTCCACGTGTTTCTCGACTAGCGTGGCACCTGCTATGGAAACGAACCTACCTCTGAATTCGCGATCAGTGCTCCAAAGATCAATAACGATTGTCCACGGAACCACAGAGTCTCCTCTGACACTTCTCGACGTTGCACCGTGATAATTCAGCGGGAAATTCGAAGATTGTACAGAGAGAACCGTGGAACGAAAACACGCATGAAGATGAACGAAGCGGCAGATCGCGTGTGTCGAGGATGACAACGAGGTAAGAAGTGAACTGGAAACACGCGACACGAGCCGCTAGCACGCACCGACTGAACGTGAACGCGAACAGACCTCTGGTATCGGCCACGGGCAGCGATCTCCCTAACATCATCCCCACCACAATTGCCCACGGTACCGCGAGCTATTCGGAATGAATATTGTTATTCCAATAGAATTTTGTCCCTTTGAACGAGATTCAATATTTATATCGAACGCTGTTTTCGTCAGGGTCGATTGTTTTTGTCCGTGGTGCTAATTCGAAATAAATTCCATGAAATGAAATTTTTCAATCGATAGATGCCTCTTCAGGATATCCTAAATGAAATAGAAGTGACAAATCTTGAAAAAATTCTTCGACAGAATCAGAATATACCTATGTATGTAAAGATGAAATTTAAGATGTAAAATTTTACTAAGGCTGATATGAAAGTGGCCACGGTTAGTAGTTAGCTACAACAGTACAAGTAATGCCAAAAAAATTGAAGTATCGCACATCTTTTCTAGTTGATATTTTTTTTTATCTTATTTGATCGATCAAATAAGATAAAAAAAATTGTCTTATGAATTATAATTTATATTTTATGCTATATTGAAAGAGTTCTTCAAGTGTACCATTTCCTTGCAAGTAATAAGCGACTTGTTATCAAGGAAGAGCACCTGTAACTTTCGAGCTTCTTTACATATCAAATACTATCATCGCGTAATAGAATCAAACCCTTGTTCTGCACATGATAAATATATAGTCATCACTTGTTTCTTATCTATAAACATTTAATCGTCTAACAGACGTATGGTTAAGAGTGCCCCATTATTGTTACAATATTAACACAGAATCTATAAAAAGTCAAATTTACATTATCAATGTATACAAGTATACAATACATTCATTAATTAGTTTAATCAAGATATACATTTAGACAATATTTTTATCATCTA